CAACTAAGGGGGGGGGGGGAGTAAATGTTGGGGAGTTCAATCGTTATTCCTTGCTCCCCCATCTCCATATCTCTACCACTAGATAAATTCCCCCTTTCAAGCATAATTTTTCTAAAATCATATCAAATATGAATCATTAAAAATGGATTATAACCCTACTGTTTTGTTACCAATATAAACCATTATAATCGATTATTTGTAATTATTAGGGATTTTCAGAGAGGTTATTGGTAAATTTAGCAAATTTTGCAATTTTTGTAAGTTATCTCTTTTTTTGTTTTATGCAGTTGCTACAGATTACTTCTCATAAATATGTAGTTTTCACATAAAAATTTTAGATATTTAACTTTCTCTATTTTGTCATTTTTGCAGTTAACAATTTTTATCTCTTATTTAACATCGTCTATGTAAAAAAAAGGTCATTCACCCACTAAATCTTCTGGGCTGAAAATTGGTGGCGTGAAGTAGATGAGGTGGTGATGGTAGGGTAGGTGGTGGGGGTACGGGATGAGGTTGGGGTAAAGTGGGGGGGGGGGGGGGGGGGGGGTGAACGTTTTTGAATTTTTTAATAGACGGGTGGGCGCGAAAGTAGGGACAAATATCAAAAGTTGAGGGAGTTGCTGACATAAACATAGACGAACATGCTACATCAAGTTCTTATTTTGCTGAGCGTTGATTTAATAATGTTTTGTTGTCTGCAGATAATTTACAGAAGGTAAATATGCAAATTTCTCAAACAAAATTTAAAAGACTTTTAGCTGTAATAATTTTTTGCCGAAAAATGGTTTTAATAGATTTTTGTTCTTTAAAAAGTCATTTGTATTGACAAAATAATGGTTTATAATGAATTTTAAAATAGTGAAAACAATCGTTTATAATCCTCTAAAAATCCATTTGCATGGTTGGATTAGAAAAGAAAATCGATTATATGGTTTAAGGTTTTTGCCAATACAATCCTTACAAACGCTTAAGTTCCAGTGCGGAAAGACCAACTAGTTTGCACAATCCACAGCATAGCTTTGCCTCAATTCAGTTCAGCCGATTTTGTAGGGTGGGGTAGATCGCCACGCGTAAAAAATGCGCGAAACACTTACAGCATCAAAATATAAAATGAGTAAATTTGCTAGCTTCGAAAAAGATATTAAAGTGGCATGGGAACTTGGCGGGGACCACGAAGATGCAGAGATCGATCCCACAAGAGACTTTTTTCGAAGCTTGATCTGAATACATACAAAAACACTTGGGCATATCTGTTCTCCACGTTCTTCGAAAGTCGGAACATTATATTATTTTACTTTAAAGCTTGAAAACCAGAATGATTAGGCAAAATTGAAGTGTTTAGAGTCGGTTCGGTTTGGTTTGGTTTCGTAAAAGAAAACTCAAGCACAATTTCTCCAAGAAAGGATTTTTCCATGATTCTCATCACTTCATGGATTTTAACATTTCAGACATTATTCTTAATCGTCACCAGATCAATTTCCTAAATCTATAGTATTAGCAAATCTATCGGACCACAGATGACCGAATCTAATGGATTTTCTAATACCACAGCTTTAGGAAATTGAATCGTAGCAGGAATGGATTTGACTATGATTAAGAATATTGTTTGAATTGTTCAAATCCATAAATTGATGAAAACAATGGAAAAATCCTTTCTGAAACTGCTCTTGAGTTTGCTAATACGAAACCGAATCAAACCGACCCGAATCTGAATCATCCTCTGTAAAATTATAGTTTTAAAGAACAACGATTCAGAGCGGTAACCATGGTGGTTGTATTAGCAATCAGTTAGCGTAAAAAACACCTGTTTTTGCTAAAAATGGCTTTCAGATTGTAGCAAAAACAAAGCACTACGACCTATCAATGCAAGACCAAACCATCCAGAAATTGTTAATCATCCATTATTCAAAACATAAACAGACATTTTAGTTGCATCGTTTCAACTTGCTTAGATCTGCCTGTGGAAATATAATATGGAGGGAGATAGCAGCTCTGGTAAGTGTCTTTATAATTGAAAAAAAATGTTTTTCAGGTTGATTATGATGCTTTCTGAAAAAATCAACCCTGCAAAAATCGGATTTTAAATGCTGAAAAGTCTTGAACGAATTAATTTGTTGGTTGGACTTTTTCATTATTATTTTGAGGCGCATAAAAAAATCTCCTTGGTAAAAGTCACAGAGCATAGTGAGTTAGGACCGATGTGGTTAACTCATAGAGTAATTTCGGATAGGGTACACCGTCTGCTCGTCACGCTATCTTATTTTCGGCCGGATAGATTCGTGCAACTTCTTAGTCTAATACCGATCCTAATCTTACTCTTATACTATCTAGTCTCAGGGTGTTTAACTAGTCTCTGCTAGGCTCAATAGATCTAGGGTATACTGGTTTATTGCGGCTGTTGAAGTCTTCTTGGAGAGTCAACTAATTTCTAAGTTAAATTCAAATCTCTCTGGTGCTGAAATTACAAGTAATTTCAGCACTTACAAATAAGTGGGTTGTTAGTTAGATGGATCATGATTGGTTAATATTAAATACTTTACAGTGGTAAAATATCTAATTTATCCAATCATAAAATGTAGTTTAGATCAGGTTCCAACCATCCGGGTTTTACAGAGTTTTTTAGAATAGTCTTTCTGCAATTCAAAGGATGGATGATGGGCGTTGGTATTTGGCGAACATCTTAATTCTTCTGGGTTCTCTTGTTAGAGAAGTTCCAGGTTCAATCGCTGTGTCTTCTCATGACAACGACTGGGTTTTCGCAACAAACTCAAATCTGATTTCAGAATGGTTGGCTATGACAGGTTTTTCTGTTCCATGTAGAGAACTTCTTTTGGGTTGACCTTGTCTGGGAATGGCGTGGAGATTGTGCGTGGAGGGGATGCCTGGTTACTCGGATCTGTACGTATACTTGAACATCGAGGTGGTCATTGGTCTAGTTCAATGAAGTCCTTTTCTGCGAAGTCAAGTCGTACTCTGAATCCTTTGAGTTGTGATTGTGGGCGGCATATTGATTGTGGTTGGCCATTCTTTTTCGAGTGTATTGGGGTCATTTTGTCTTTGGATGTTCGTCTTTGGTGTTGTATGCTGATCTATATACTGCAAGATATAATTTACATTTTATAAAATTTTTATTAGTTTGGTGTTTTAATTATGATTTTGGTTAGTTGTTTTCACAGAAGCTTTTTGTTTTAGTTCGGTTATTTTGAAGAGTTACTCACCCTTGAGTACCTCTTATTAAAAATAGGAGTGTGGTCACAAAGCGTGGATGTAGCGCGGTGGGTTAGGCCGGCTATAGAGCATGCTCAGGACGTCCTCTCTGGTGGGTTAGGCCAGGAGTGGGAGTATGATTTCGTGCGGTTTCTGTGAGAGGTCCTGTTATGTGATAACGTTTTATGTTGGGTTTATTGTGGTTTTTCTTATGTTTCGTTGGTTGTGTCCTTTTTTCAAAAATCAAATTGTTTTTGGTATGGGTTTGTCTTTCGACTTTTTTGTGTTTTATTATTTCTTTCTTAGACTTTATAATAGTCTTCAAAAGAATAAATTATCCAGTTTTAAACTGGGTTAATCCGGTTTGGGTACCGTTGGTTTCCTTTTTTTTAGTCATGCTGTTATTCTATGTGTTGTGGTGTTTAGTAAGCTGCATTGGTTAGTTTTGTTTAGTATATAATTCCTTTCCAACCGGGTTAAAGGAAAGATTGAAACTTGTTATCGTGTGTTAGAGTTGTTGAGTGTGAAAGTTTGAAACTAAAATTCATTATTTAAACAATTCTTCGTGGGCGAGCTGTGCGAGTTTGGATAGAATTCTTGTGCGAGTGAATGAAAATATCAAAAGGTTAGTACTGCATTTGCGTTTTATCAATTTACTACATAGAATTTCAATTTTACTGCTAGTTTTGGGGAAAAATTAAGTTACAAATTTTCATCATTATTAGAATTACTGCTTTTAGGGAAATAATTTATAAATTAATTTACTACATTGGTATGAATTTTACTGAATTTATCTAGTGTAAAATATTAATAGCGTTTTTAAGAATTTGAAGAAGTTTTCGATTTTTTATTTTTCTTTATTGTATTTTGCAGATGATCGTGAGATGAAGACTAAAAATCTCTATAAAACATGGATAAAGAATGTTTAGTGTTTTATTTTAAATTTATTAGTTAAGAATATGTATAAATTATACTTACCTGTTAGTCGTCGGGGAAAAAACCGTGAGGGAAGATGTCGTGGATTATGTCGGAATTTGTTAGTAACTTTGCTAGTATGCGAATGATGTTTTTAGTTTGAAGCAGTGGCTAAAGCAATTGAAGTGCTTGAATGGTTTTTAGTTCTTCAGTGCCAACTGCAAAATCATAAGGTGTGTTTTGGATGAGATTATATAATTTGTGGTTATATTTAGTGTTGTGGATGAATTCTAATATGGGGATTTCTATAGGTTGAACAAATTCATGTGGGATAAGGAAGGGTCTGGATTCTTCTGCGTTGAAGGTCTTTGTGATGGGACAAAAAATATACATTTGGGTTATGGGATCATAATTGCGAAGAATACCGTGAAGGTTAGTATCTTTGATGCAATATGTGAAGTTAAGAAAAAATGGTGATGTGTATTTAGAGTTAATAAATTGAAAACGATGGTGTGGTTGTCTTGATGGAGTGTGTAGGTCAAAGTGATTTTGTATAAAGCGGTAATATTTATATGTGTGGGTTTGTTTAGTGCGTAACATAATGTCGTGTGAGCAGTGCAAATCTCGTTCATGTGGTGCAAGGAAATGAAAGGTTAGTGAAAATAATTGAAATCTTTCTTTAAAATTTTCGTAAGCTTGTGTGTCGGTTAGTGCTTCAGAAATGATGTGGTCGAATTTGCGATCAAATATATTGAGTGTAAAAACATATGGTGTTTTGATGAAAAATTTTTCTGTGATTTGTGGGTTAGCGAAGCGATCATCATCTAAAAATTGGTCTTGGTTAGTTCGGATGATGTTATGATCGTAATATTCTAGCGTATATTCGTTAGCTCGGGGTGCAGTGTATGTTTTTAGTGATTTTTTATATCCGATGTAAGTAAATTGTCTATGTGTTAGTGGTGTAGTGAGTCGATATAGCATATCTTGATTTCGTTCTATATCGATGTGAGTATTAGATAAAGGTAGGCAAAGGGGGTTAGTAAAATGATAATATGATGTCCAATGAAGTGTAGGCATTAAAACTTGTTCATCTACAAAGCTACGTGTATCGTTAGTATCTGTAAGGGTGTTCAAAGTATACTGTGGAAATGAAGGTAAGGTGATTGCTAAAAATTCTTTCGTGATAGTGTGATTTGGATGATTAATATATTCACGGGCTGTTCCTGGTTTTGTTGGAAATGGATGGTTTGGGAATTTTCTTTTGAAAGTGCGGTAAGCTCTATTAGTGCTAATTGATGATTCGGTGGATGTGGATGATGGTGCTAGTGATGCGGTATAAGCTGAAGAGGGTGTAGGGGTAGGTGGATTTGATGATCCTATGGTTGATGAAATCTGGTTTATAGTTGAGGTGTCAAGGTGGAAGGGTTGTTGTTGTAAGGTGATAAAATTATCTAATTCTTGGGAAATTTGGGGGGTGTCTGGAGAATTGGATGATCGATCTGAATGAAGTGAAGAGTAGGTTGGGGTAACTTGTGAAGCATAGGAGGGTGTAGAAATGGATGGTAGTGGGTTATATGGTGGGATTGGTTGAAAAGGGGGTTTCGAAAAAACTGAGGGATTGGTTTGAAAATTATTGGATGGAGATGGTTCAGAGTCGGCAAATTCATCAGGGGTTTCAATATCTGGGTTATTGAGTTGTGAGATAGAGTATAAAACTGAGTTAAGTGAATTAGTGTCTGAATTCATGCCTGATGTTATATTATTGTTTGGGAAATCGGGTGGCGGGAAAGCAAAAAGTGGAATTATTGTAATTGGAGTGTTGAGATTGGTTGGGTGGGAATTTGAGCGGTGTAGGGATCCAAGTTGTCGGCTCATCGTGGGCTAAAAAAATTATTATTTTGAGACTGAAAAGCAGTTGTATGTGGTTGTTCTATAATTTGTTCATATGTATTTTCATCTAGTGAATTGTGTGTCATTATATGTTGAATGGGACTTTGTGATATGGTTGGTCTGAAATTTGGATTATGGCTTATTGCTAAATTTCGAAAATTTCGTGGGACTAGTGATAATGGATGGTTATGTGGTAGGGGTGGTAACTGTGGTGCTGTAGGCGTAATGTCTACATTGTTATGTTCTTCGTCATATGTGTTCTGTCTTGTTGCTATTTTTGTGTTGTATTCTTTTATTTGTGCGTCTAAAAAAATTTTGTTTATTGATGATGAAAAAATTCCAAAAAATCCTGCAAATAATATGCGTGCTACACTTGCTTGTCTATTTACTTGTGTGTGTATAGCGCATGTATTATAGATTCCTTTTAAGAGTGAGAAAAGAAATCCTATAAAGTTAAACATTGCGTATAAAATAGTTAATTTTTCTAAGATGTAATAGGGCCATCCTAGAAAATCAAGAATTTCATTTTTGAGTGTAACAAAGCTAAAAATATTTATAGGTGAGATATCTTGTGGTCGGTATTTTTCACCGTTGAGATATATATAGTCTTTAATGTCTTTAAAATATCCGCTATAATCTTGTGTATAAATGTCTGCAAATCCTGCTGTTTCGGCAAGTTTGCGTAAGTTTTGGTCAATTGATTGTCTTTGTATCGTGTCCATTTGTGTTAATAATTCTTGGAATTGTTGTGTTCTAATGTGATGTTGTATATCGGATTTTGAATATATTCCAAATGATTGTAAGTCAATATTTGGGTTTCGAACAATAGCTCTAATGCTTTCAGGTGAAAATTTTTTGAGTGATTGCATTAATGTGGATATGGGGTAAGAAGGTAATATTTATCTTCATCAGGGTTCAGTTGTACTACATTGTGGCTATTTTCTGATCCACTGGGACTGCGGTATCCCAGAAATAGGTTCGTC